ATCCCATAACAGCGTGGCGCAAACCTAAGATCATAAGCATATGGATTATGACAGAGGGCTGTCTTAATTTCATTAGTTCAATATAGTTGTCTGCTCCAGAAGATGCTACGCGGCTTAGGGAAAAAAAATTACACAATTAAAACCCACAAAAATGGGCAGCCCAGACTAAGACAACAGTAGGGGGGGAAAAACCCACAAACGACAGGCACATTTCGTGACTCACAGCCCACATTAACCCCAAAGCTGGGAACTAAGCCAGGTCTTGTCCACCTCTTCATCGAAAAAGGAATATATATTTTTTGCTAGGATTAAATCAGGGGAGGGAGGGAGGGGGGGACACAAAATACTTCTCCCCCCTTTCGTGATTTTAAGCTTGCTCAGCTGCAGATTTGAGACTGACTCCTGCACAGAGGCTGGATCCTTCAATCCACCCAAACTGACCATTTTAAATCTCTCAAAGAAAAAACGCTTCGTATTCTGTTCCTCTCCATTTCAAAGACAGCACGGGTAATCCTCGAATTACGACCAAATTTTAAGCCGGTAAGCGAGGCATTTGTTCAATGAGTTTTGCCCCGTTTTGCCATGGGTTTGTTAAGGGGATCGCTGCGGTTGTTAAATGAGTAACATGGTCGTTAAGCGAAGCTGGCTTCCCCCCCCCATCCCATGAACTTTGCTTGTCACGGGACACCGTCCTAAATATGAGTCAGTTGCCAAGCAGCTGGGTTTTGATCACGTGACCGTGGGGGCGTCGCGATGGTCGTAAGTGTGAAAAAAGGTCACAAGTCCCTCTTTTCGGTGACGTTGTTAACTCTGAGCGGTCACTATATGGAGTGTTGTAAATCGAGGACTGCCTGTGACGATTTCTGAATGGAGATCACATTCATTCACGAAGAAAGGAGATATATAGACTCCAATTGTTTTCAAGGAGCTAAACAGCCTAATTTTAAAAAAAAACTAAAACAAAAAAAAAACAAGAAACAAAGAAAGAATCTCATTTCCTAATCAATCAATAACTTTAGCTAATGGCTTTCCGGTAACTTTTCACCAGCTTGCCCATTAAGAGAGCCGTTGCTAATCTGGATTGTGCCCATCCTGGCAAAGCAGAAGCAACATCAAACAACCCTTAATAATAATCATCATAACAGAGTTGGAAGGGACCTGGGAGGCCATCTAGTCCAACCCCCTGCTCAGGCAGGAAAACCCTCTCCCATTTCAGACAAATGGCAGTCCAGTCTCTGCTTAAAAAACTTCCAGTGTTGGAGCATTCGCAGCTTCTGGAGGCAGGTTGTTCCACTGGTTAATTGTTCTAATTAGCAAATCAGATTTTCAGCGGGACAAGGATACAGTTACCAAAGAGTGTGAGGACAATGAAGTAGACGGAGGAGAACATTCCAGAATGGACACCCCCTTGGGATTCGATGCCCTGGTACATCACGGCGTTCCAGTCTTCCCCAGTCAGAATCTGAAAAAATCATGGAAACAGGTTTGTGAAAGAAAAGGATAAGTCTCTTTTGCTCCAAGAACAGAGAGCCCACCATGGAGAAGTTGCTCCAGGGAGAATGGGGTGGGGTGACCACTTCTTAAATAGTCAGAATAACAGAGCTGGAAGGGACCTTGGGGGTCTTCTAGTCCAACCCCCTGCTCAGGCAGGAAACCCTATTACAATTCCAGAAAAATGGTTGTCCACTCTCTTCTTGAAAACCTCCAGTGATGGAGCACCCACAACTTCTGGAGGCAAGCTGTTCCACTGGTTAATTGTCCTCGCTGTTAGGAAGTTTCTCCTCAATTCCAGGTTGTTTCTCTCCTTGATTAGTTTCCATCCGTTGCTTCCTGTCCGCAGACGTTTCATTACCCAACTAGGTAACGTCATCCATGCCTCAGTGAGGTTACCTAGTTTGATAATGAAACGTCTGCAAGAAAACTACTAACATATCTTTTTTTTACCCCAGTCAATGCTAAACAGCTTAGTGACCCCTGACATGGACCCTCTTTCTGGTAAAGTCTTAGCAAAAGCAGTAGGATTTGCCCCTCCTAATTTCTTTCTTCTTCTCCTTGTTTAGCTCAAGGCTGCGAGTTCTCCTCCTCCTCCCTCCCTTCCTGATTAAGATTCACTGCCCCAATTAGCATCCTATGCACAAACAAGAGCGGTAGAAGGGAGGCGATATTTTTCAACATGATCCTCCAGGCCTTTCTCCAACTATTATTCTCATTAATTTAGGCTGCTTCAAGCAAAAATGGAAAACAGGTTACTGCTGCTGATGCTACGAATGTGGCACAGCAGAGAGGATCCTAGAGAGGAACGTTTTCGTGGCACTGAACATGGGAACGCTAAGGGCCATGATACGATGCCAGAGGAGTTCCTAGGGATATCGGTGGCTTATAAGACAAGAGTCATAAGTTCTGGATCATGTGTGACTTTCTTTCTTGCGGCCAACTAGGATTGCCTAACCCTCTGATTGTCCACAGGAGGAGGAGGAGGAGGAGGAAGAAGAAGGAAGGAAGGAAGGAAGGAAGGAAGGAAGGAAGGAAGGAAGGAAGGAAGGAAGGAAGGAAGGAAGGAAGGAATTCCTCAAACAAAGCCAACAAAAATTTCAAGGAGGAGGAGGAGGAGGAGGAGAAGGAGAAGGAGAAGGAGAAGGAGAAGGAGAAGGAGAAGGAGAAGGAGAAGGAGAAGAAGAAGAAGAAGAAGAAGAAGAAGAAGAAGAAGAAGAAGAAGAAGAAGAAGAAGAAGAAGAAGAAGAAGAAGAAGAAGAAGAAGAAGAAGAAGAAGAAGAAGAAGAAGAAGAAGAAGA